TTAATAAGTTTCCTTCGCGCTATGTGTGTGTTCTTTAGGTTCGGGTTTGACCCAAACTCCTAACCGGGTCGAAATCGGGTTTAAATTAAGGACCCGATTGAGACAGGGTTCAAATGTTCAAGTATATCTACTTTGGGGTTCTTAATTGAAAACGTAAAAAATATGTGGACTTTAAATTATTGAGCGAAAAGTTTTTTTTTTTGTTATCTGGGTCTTGTTCTAATACACGTTTTCGAGTTACAGAGACTCTTCCGTTTTGGCGATTATGGCGTTCGCTGGAATCACGACTTCAACATATCCAACTTTTCTTCGGCCAAAGATCTCTAAGACAAGTTTACGTTCGGTGGCTCCATGTAATTCCATTTCGTTTCCTCGTTTGTCAAACGTGAATCTCAATCGGAGAAATCGCCTTTATGTTCGATCTTCTTCAGTTCCAGGTTCGAATTAGTTCACGAAATTGCTCTGCTTTATCTTCCAGTGAGGATCTCCTTTTTTTCTGGGTTGTTATTGTTTTGATTCGCAGCTTTGATTTTTTTTTCAGAAAAATATCGATTTTGTTCTTGAATCTTCTGACTTTAGCTTATGTTTTTCGATTTCGGGTTTAAAAAAATAGAAACTTTAATTTGAAATTGATAGCTTAGGTTGCCCTGATGTCAGAAAATGCTAAAAAGATTAGTAATTTCGGTCTCCTCGTGATTTTGTTTGCGTCTGTGTATTACTGTATTCAAAAGTTAACTGAGTTCTGCTCTAGTTTGGTTCTTGCGTGTTTCACGAGAACTCAAAGAGGCTTTTTGAATTTTCGCAGTGGCACCTGCAATGGAGGGACTGAAGCCGGCGATATTGCTGACAGATAAGGCACTTAAGCATTTGAGTAAGATGAGATCAGAACGCGGAGAAGATTTGTGCTTGAGAATTGGTGTCAAACAGGGAGGATGCTCGGGGATGTCTTACACGATGGACTTCGAGAACAGAGCAAACGCAAGACCAGATGATTCCACCATTGAATACGAAGGATTCACTATAGGTAAACTATTTCGGTTTCTTCCCTTGGTTTATGATGATCAATCCTTCTATTCAGATACAAGAAAGTCCAAGAGTAGGATCAGTGAGTTGTTTGAATCGCCATAAAAACACATGAATGCTAGTCTCTGTGTGTTGAAGCGTTCATTGAAATGTTATTGTTAAGATGAAGTTATTGTCCAAGTTTTAGACTTGGTGTTGTCAAGTAGATTCTTCTGATGTGCAACTAGAATCATATTGTATTAGCTGCTGCTGAGACTTCTATTGTTGTTTCCAGTCAAGTGTTTATACATCTGTAAAGTGAAAGCTCAGATTTTGTCTTTTGTATACATTTCTTTTGCAGTTTGTGATCCGAAGAGCATGCTCTTCCTTTTCGGAATGCAGCTCGATTACAGCGATGCTTTGATCGGTGGAGGCTTCAATTTCTCGAACCCTAACGCTACACAAACCTGTGGATGTGGGAAGTCTTTTGCTGCCGAGATGTAAACCAGTTTGATGATATATTGCAGTAAAGAAGAAAATGGTTATAGTTAATAGAACATTTTGTATTTTGATGGCTGTAGAATGCCCCCAACAGAATCAGAACCACTGTAAGCATTTTCATCTGTTATAATTAAACCAAAACTATAATAAATATTCCAGACTGGTTACAATATCATATCAAACCGATGATCAAAATTTTCTAGTCATGATTACAAAATTTAGAAAAATAAAACAACAGCAACCATCATTACTTCATTCATTTAGTTTCTTCTCTTCTTGTTGGATTTGGAGGATTGCTTATCATTGCCCCTCTTTTTGCTGGATTTGTCAAAACCACATGGCTTTACTTTGATATCAGATTTGGTGGACTCAATACTGATAATACCACTTGAAGAGATCTTAGACTTTTGCAAAGCTTCAGCTTCTTTGCCCCCAATAGCAAATTGTTCAAGCAGCTCCGGATCCAACAATTCTTCCACCTTTGCTCTCATTTGTTCCTTTAAACCCAAACATTGAGTGTGAATGATTTTTCTACCTTACACGGAAAGCAAAACAGAATATACGCGTGCAGGAAAACATAAGCGATTACCTCGACTTCTTTTGCTCCTTCCCTGAGATCTTCGTCTACCGATACATTGTGAGGTTCAAGCACTCTCTGCAACCATGAATCATATTAGCAGATATTCGTGTATGTATTTGTTTATGTTCTAAGATGAGTGATTATTATTACTACGCAAAAGAACATGAAAGTGTTTTGATAGTTTTGCCGTCTGAACTTACTTCTTTCAGACGAGGTAAGGTGGCTGTGATCTCTTTGGTTGCAATACCATTCAAATATTTGTATAACTTCTTTCCAACCTTTAATAGAAGAGAGTATATTTGCCCCCTCTCTAACTGCATTTGTCTCTGTAAGTGCAAAGTAATGATTCAATTTAGAACATCCAGTATGTGTGGTGAAACATAAAGCAAAGGGTCAAGATCATCAAAATTATCTTAAGAGTAGAAATGTTATACCTCGATGCTAGAGAATTCCAACTCCTGCAAGCCCAAACATAGAAGTACAGATGCTTGAACATACGACAGCGAGACAGGAATCCTCTCTTGAAAATAGTAATGTGCTAGAGTTTTGCAGAGGTCATAAATCTTTGAAGGAGAAGAAAAAACAAATTGTTACAAATGCAAAATACATAAAATCACGTTTTAAAGCTCAATTTATTAGTTGAGCAAAATGTGTGTGTGTGTTAATGTACATGTTTCCCAAAAGAAGAGAATCTAAGAAAATGAATCTAACCAGATTGAAGTCAACAAGATTGTCAGTGTATGCTCTGAGCCTCTCCATATCATAAGGGGAGAAAATTCCGTTGAGCTTCCTCAAAAATCCATCAGGTGAATTTCCCGAAGAATCTACCTCTGGAAAGTTGATCTTAGGGTTTAAGACACTAGACAAAAAGAGTGATATTACAATACAATCAGATCCCCAAGAAAAAAATATAATCCGTCTTAAAACAGTATTGCAGAAAAAGTCCAAAAATTGCATGGGAAAAGAATATGGTTAGTGCTAACCTCATTGCAAGTTTATAATCCATCTTCTTGAATTTATCGCTCAACAGCTTAGAGAACCTTATTCTGAAATCTGAAGAGAAGAGAAGTGGGCAAACCATCATATCAAGCATGTCATACTTGAAAGATACAGAAAAGTTCTGGTTGTTGTTTAAGAATCAACAAACCTTTATAGAAGGGAGCAAAGAAGCCCAATTCATTTGACTCGCTAACTTCGGACTCGTCGTTGTTTAAAGGTTTCAGAAGCATACATGTGTGCTCACCAGTCACAGCACTCTGATCCAACAAAAAATAGAGACAGTTATTAGCTACTAGACAAGCGAAGAATAAGAACTTCAGGAGAAGGAATGGAAATATCCTCAACTGGTATCTGACTGATATAGAATGGAGCAAATTTATGTTTCCTCCAGAAACGGAAAAGGTCCAAAGTAAGCCCAAAAGAGACACCGAGGTAGTGGAGTCTCTCAGGTCGTCGATCACGAAGAGGAACTAGCAAAGGTGGAAGATTGGCACGAGGCTTTATTTGTTCCTCAAGCAAAGAAGCCTATGGAAAAGCAATCACGTAAGAAGTTGAATGCATAAACAAAATAATATAAGGCACAAGGATAGATAGAAAAACCAAGAACCTTTTTAGCAGCTTCGGTAACTCTAACCGGTGAAGCCTCCACCTCGAGTTCATCGTCGCCTTCTGATATTGAAGCTAGCTGGCCCTCAAAGTATCTGCACAT